TAGTGTACATGGGTGTACTTTGACTTTTTAAGATTAATCTGATCATTTCTTCTCTTAGCCTTTTAGATAACACTGAGTGGATAATGATTCAGTTAAGTTGCTTCCTAGATAGGCCAAAAGTTATCTATATCCAAAGACTCAAAAACCCATGAGGCCATGCTCTGTTTTTCAGCCATTTACAATCCGAAGTGTGCCCTCTTTGAAAAGTAACATGTCATTGTCCACCCTCCACTCTTGGGTCTACCCTCTGTGCCTTCCCACCAGACAAGATTCTGCCAAAAGTTTTACCATCTGTTGTTCACATTAAAAAGGAAATCAAGAGATTTTTCATTTTCATGAGATGGAATTTTACTACTGAATATGATTTTTTTTTTATTGCACACACTTTCCTCTGCACACCTCCCAGGAATATTGATACACCCTTTGTTCGGTGCGTGTGGCCTGAGGAAGGACTCTAATGATTTGGTTCTGCTTGAGTTATGCTTTTTTTTTCCCCAGTGATCTGGATAAAGATAGCAGAGCTGCTTATCAAACTGAATATAACATAGCATCGAAGAAAAGCCTATATTTTGGATAAAAGGATCTAAAATTAAAAAACAAACAAACAAAAAACTCTCAGTGGACTCAAACAATGGACCGGAACTAACAAAATAAAATTAATAAGGAAATGGAATCCTCCACTGAGAGGGAATTATCTATTGTGTCCTTATAAGACAGAGCAAACTACAGACCAAAAACCTCTCTCGGATTTTTCTTGCAGACCAACGGATTTCTTGTTTGTGTGTTTGTTTTGTTTTTTGTATGTTGAGTTTTCTTGTTTCTTTGTTTCACTCATAGTTTCATTATATGACCCTAAAATACATAGCTCCTGACACACAGTGCAAGTACGTAATGCAAATATAAACCTCATTCGCCTAAGAGTGAGGTCCAGATCAGAAGTGTAATTTCCTTCTAGTCACCCGTTCATTAAGGACACCGACACACTAGAAAGCCCGAGAGGGCCCTGCCCCAGTCCTTGGTACCCAATTAATACATACTTATTGAATGAATGGTGACTTGAGTGTTTCAAGATAGTCCCCCAGGTCTTTGAAAGAACTTGGGAAGAGGAAACATCAAGGTCACCTTCTCCAAATACTTGCAGAGCTCTCAAACAGAAGAGAGTCAGGTTTATTTCATTTTTTTCAGAGGATAAACCAAACACATCAAAGGGCCCAGGTCAATTTAAGAAAAAATTTCCTAGAGCTATTCTCCCATGGAATGGGCTGACAGTACTTTAGGTCCTTTTGTCCCCGGACAAGGACGATCTACAGCAGTCCATTCAACAGAGGCCAGGAGCCACTATGAAGTGTGTTGTGAAAGAGACCCCTACGTTTGGGGTGTAGCTCACCTAATGCCCTTTCAGTCACATGCAAGATTGAGCTTCTTTTAGTAGGTTCAGACCAAAGTGACTTCTATTTTCGGCTTTTACAATCAACATTGCAAGGGGAACTATTACTTTAAAAAAAATGTTTAATGGAAATTTCTGAGGATAATGTCTCTAAGTTAAGGGCAACCAAGAATTGAGCAACCCTTTTTAAGCCTTATGTGTGTGTGTTTTTTCCTTATTCTCTTATCAATATTTTGGTCTCATAAATATTTATAAGGGAATTGACCCAAAATCAAAGTTTTTCTAAAAAACTTTCCTAAGATTTTCAGTTTTACTGTCTGGTAGCAAATAATTATTTAAAGATGATCTCTGGTTAGTTATATTATGTAAAACTAGTGAGTGATCTGGTCTTAGAGAGATTTTTTTCATTGATTTAATCAAGATTTCAAAGGCCTTAGGCTTGGCTATGAAGGACATTGATTCACTTGTGGGACACAGATAAGGTTTTGTTATCCGTTGACGAGGAAGTGTGTAATAGTCTCAGCTGGGCTGGACGGAGGTGTATATCATGCTGGGTAAAGTCTCTTCACAATCTAAATGATGTATACCGATTTAATGTATGAATAACAATTTTAAAATTAATGAAAAATGAAAATTAAATTAAAAAATAATAATAACCAAAAAAAAAGTGCTCTTAGCCTATCTCTCGTGAGCTCTAAGTCATTTGCAGTCGTTGAGTCGGGAGCTGCTGCCTTCTGCCTTCTGTTTTATTCCAGGCTCCTGTGCCTGGATTTCAAGACCCAGCCTCTCTCCCTGCATCACTCTCGAGGAATCCTCCTTTCTCTCCAGTCCCATCTTCTCACTTTCCATATTGCCTTCTCCACATGCTATGTGTTTGGGGGTTGGAGGGTCTCACTCTCCCATGCTCATTGGGTGCCTTTCTCAGGCCACTTCCTCTCTCTGGAGCCACACTGTCATCTTAAGGGTCAAGTTGATAAACAGTTTATTTGTTCACTCATTTGCAATGTGAAGTCATTGATACTTGGTCTACAGCAGTGGAGAATCACCTGGCAAGCTTAAAAAAAAATACTGTTCCACTGTTTGAGTCCTGGATATGGCAGCTTGCTTTCTCACTTCCCCTTTCTCTTTCTCTCTGGTCAAATTTGACAATAATTAATAGTAACAAACAAATAACTTCTTTAAAAAAAAAAATCCTGTTGCCTGAATCCCAGAGAGTCTGATTCAGTTGCTCTGAGATGTGGCCTGGGCATTGGGATGTTTCAAAGCCCTTCCAGATGAATCATTATGGAGCCAAGACTGAGAACTACAGGCCTACAAACTCATTCAGTCCTCAAGCTGGGACTGTATTCTAATAATAACTTTATTTGTTCTCATGTGACTTGTATCCCAGTGTTTAAAATAGTTCTTACAAGTGTATAAAATATCAAAGTGGCTACAGTTACCCACAATTTTTCTTTCTGTCATTTCAGTTACCTGTAGTCAACCACGGTCCAAAAATACTGAATGGAAAATTCCAGAAATAAACAATTCCTAAATTTTGAACACTACATCACAGTGCTTACATTTACCTTACTTTATATCATCATCAAATAGGCATTTTATCATTTCAAGAAGGATGAGTATTCCGAACAATAAGATTTTCTGAGACCACATTTATGTAACTTTTATTACAGTACATTATTATAATTGTTCACTTCATTACTAACTATTGCTTGTCATCTCTTACTGTGCCTAATCTATAAATTATCATAGATGTGAATATACAGAGAAAAAATAGTGTATATATATAGGGTTTGGTGCTATCTTAGAATGAGTCCACCACAGACACCATATTTTCACTTTGCGTTAATTTGGTAGCTATGGAGGAGGAAGTAGTACAGTTTCTTTTTTGAAAATTCAACTCCTAAAATACCTCTGGGCTACCTTGACAATTAGCAACAATAACTACAATAGCATTTCCTAAACTCTTAGCATGAGTCAGGCACTCTGCTAAGTACTTCCTAGACTCTTCACACCCACTACACTGTTTCAGTCTTCACAATCTCCCCTCCTTGAGGGGTTGAGCCCTCATTCTTGCCCTGCTTGATTAATGAGGATCCTCACATCCAAAGACCACATCCACTTGCCCAGGACTTTACAGAAAGCAATGCTGAGCTCAAGCCCAGGCTCCTCTGGTACCAAACTGCCACTGGCTGTCTATGCCTTCAGGAGGAACAATTTCTCCAATTAAGTTCCTGTAAAATAGACATGTACCTGCTTTAACTTCAGGATTGCCCTTTTTTTCAAATTGAGTTGCAGTCTTTTGTACATCAAGAGCTTTCACACCCAGGTCACCTGGTTGTATCCAGGACAAAGAGAACATTTAGTAAATTAGTTTTTTTCCATGAACTCATGAGATATTATTTTAGAGAAGCAACTATTTCCAGCACTCGAACCAACAGAACTTTCCTCCTGCTTCCCTTAATCTTCCTAATGACTTCTTTTTTTAAAAAATAATTATTTATTTAATTTTATTTAGTATTATTATTTTATTTGCTACAGGGGATGTGTGCAAGAGAAAGAAAGCAAGAAAGCAAGCTACCAGGTCCAGGTCTCAAACCATGGTCAGCCATGTGAGAATCCAGCACCTTAACCACTATGCCACCTGCTGAGCCCCAGTGACATCTTTGAAGTGTTAAATAAGCAGTGCTATCCACATTTTGCAGAAAGGGAAACTGATAGACCAAGTAATTATGCCCGCCTAAATAGTAACAGCTGCTACTTATGGAGCTCATACTCCACGCAGGCTCTGTGCTAAACTCTGTAGCCTGAGTTTATGGATGAGGAAATGAAGACTGCAAAAGGTGAGGTCACTTATCCAGCTAGTAGCTAATTTATCAGGCACCGTGTGTATTTGCTTCTTTGTTTTTTAGCTTGCTTATGAACAAAACTGCAAGATGTGAGTTTCATTCACTCTCTCTTCTGAACCCTGCCAGCCCCAGCTGTGTAGGCAGTGGTATTTGGACACCCATATCTGGAATAAACCACGGAAGCATAAACTGGATTTTCTTTCTGTGTGTCGAATGGCCATTTGAAAGCTACCGTGAATAAAGAGCTTTCTGCCAACCTTGAATATCATACTGAGGTCAAACAGGCTCTAAATATCCCTCCTCAAGCCGTCCCAAGAGGAGGCTTTAGTGTACAATCAACAACCCCTGCAGGTGAGAACTGGCTCAGAGCAGTTTCACACTCCATCTACCTCTGAGCTCTGTTCTTTCTCACAGCTTCAATTAAGGACAAGAATTTGGTCTCTGTCGCTGGGTCACTTCATTACTACACAGACACTAAGGACAGAAACTCGTCCCTTACTCTCACAAATTGTGAATATACCAACTTATTTTCTCCCTCTTCGAGGACACGAAGACTTGGCTCCCTTCTGGTGTGCTAACATACACATACATGATTCTGCAGGGAGAAACCCTCTGCATGAAGGCAAAGAGAGGCAGTGTGGAGAGCGGCTGGGATCTCAGGGAAAATGAAGGACCTCACAGCCAGTGGCAGGGCACCAGGTCACTAATTACTCAAGTGCCAACCTTTTTTCTTTTCCTTAATATTGTTTTCTTTCCCCCTACAGGGCATACAAAACCATTGAGGATGATGACTTGAAGTTTCCCCTAATCTATGGAGAAGGCAAGAAGGTAGGCAGCACTTGCCCTGCGCCGAGAGGATAAGGCTCTGGCCCTATAGCCCTGCTTGCCAGCAGCAGTCGTGTGTTCCACCCAGAGTGCGTTCCACCCAGCAGCCCGTGATGTTTTAGCCTTGACAGCCTGAAATACTATCACATCCATCATACTCAGGCCTCTTGTCTTCAGGGCTCAGGGAGTGACAGAGTTGGGAGCAGCGGTGGGCGGTGAGCACAAGGGACTAAAGTCAATGTTGTGAAAATAACATCCCCTTTCCTAATCCATCTGAGTAACTTTTTACAGTATTTAAACATGGCCACTTTCACATACATCATCTCATTTTCTATCTGACAACAAGCTGGGAGGCAGGTCCAGCTGCCTATATTAGACCCACTTGGTGGATGAAGCAGCTGGGCCCGCAGGGTTAAAACCGCTCAGGCAGAGTTACACCACCAGCAGGGGCTGGCTCTGATGTGCAGCCATGGCCTCCTGCCTCCTCCTGGTGCTGCGTGCTCCAGCGTGGATGGTCTGGCTTCACAGCTCTGCTCCTCTCCATGGCACCACTATAATTAAACCACCCAATCATTCAGCCGGAGCCCAGGCCGAGGTAGCAAAGACCATCGCAGCCCTCAGGCCCAGCCACAGTCACTGAGCAGCACACTAGGGAGCCAAAGGGAAACTGTAGGTCTTGAAGGGCCTGTGAGCAGAGACCTGGAGAAGACGGAAGTCCTGGAGCAGAGATGAGGACGTTGTGCAGCCATCCCCTAATAAGAACAAGCCCTTCTGAATTATGCTTTCTTTCTCTGAACACTAGTATATCTCAGCTCAGTGTTCAAAGAGCCAAGTAAAAGTGGAAAATGTGGTCACATTAAGAAGAATCATCAACCGAAGTTGTTTTCACATTTGATAGTTTTTATTAAGAAGAAATGACTCACAGGAAAACTGGAGAATGCCTTCCTGAGCAGAAGGGGTGCGCGTTAGTGAGCGAGTGTGTTTGCAGGAGATAGTGAGCACACAGGATGAGGTCTGGGCTCTGTGTGGCCTGGCAGTGATTTCAGAGGAGGAAGCAAAATACGAATCTCTTTCCATGTGTTCATTTTTGTAAACTAACATTGAATCCCCTTTGTGGAACTGAACACCTTCTACCTCACCGTCTCTGACTGAGAATCATGACAGGGATGGGCTCCATTCCTGATAGCAGTGCGTCTTCTCAGTACCACAGATGCCACTGGCGTGTGCCATTCCACCCAAGGACGGACAGCCTGCAGCTGCAGCTCTTTGTGGGGCTGAGATTCTCAGTATCACCCTGCCGTGTCCAGTGAGTTCCAGCGAGCTCAGGACCACACACGTTCTGCTGTCTCTGTATCCCCTGTACCCACCTAGCCTGGTACCTCGGTGAACGCTGAGTACTAACTGTGCTGTTCAGTGTACTCTCCTTACTCCAGTGGGCTGGTGTGCTCGTAGACGTTTATCAGCCATGAGAGTGAAAGAAGCAAGGTTTTTCCTAGTGAAGCAAAAGGTTCAACTCATGGAAACATCAAGTTCCTCAAGCATTTCAGTTAGCGAAAGCTCGCCTGGCCGTGATGAGCAGCTGGCACACCATCCTTGTACCTGTTGGACTATGTGCATGCCCGGCGTCGCGACTTGATCGATATCGGTGGGTTTTGTCTGTACCGAGTAGCACACCATCCCCGTGTGAGGTCCCCGTGATGCCGTAGAGCTCTGTCCAGATCCTTTACAGGGGTTTTCTGTTTCCTCTCTGCACACACCTACCCAGCAGATTCAGAAAACTTTCATAACCCTTACCTTTCGTTTTATTTCCACAAATGCTTTTCAGGATTCGTGTGGGCAATACCTATCTGTATACTTTGGAAACAGGTTCGGTCCCTGGCAGAAACATCTTATTTCTTTGGACTAAAATGCAGGCATGTGATTTTTCCAGCCAGAGAAGCTGCCATTGCAGGGCGGAGAACAGGAGGCCACAAGGGATATAGCATTTTCACATTTCGAGTTGAACGCTTAGCAAGAAGGGAACCAGTCCAGCCTGCCCACAGGGCAGAGGGCTCGTGCAGCCTGCCTGACCTGAGGTCCCGGGCTTCACATCTCCTGTCTGTATTTGATCTCCTTTGACTCTCGCCCTTAAAAACATCCCATGACTTCATTTCTACTGTAACATGGACTGTGCCCGCCTTCTGATCTGAGACCAGCTCCAAAATTCACAGCTCTTTGGGGGACTAGGATGAAGATGAAGACAATGAGTTAGATCATCATGTGTATAGCATTTATTTACTTCCTCCCCACCCCTGTGGGCTAGTTACTCTTATTGTCCAAGTAATATTGATAGAGTGAGGCTTCAAGCCCAGGTCTTCTCTCCGTGCCACTACACAGCATCTATTATTGGTGACTGGAGGGTCAGGCCACTGGCCTTCGCCCACTCAGAGTGACTCTCACTCCCTCTCCATATCTGCCTTTCCTCCTGCTGTGCAGGCGTCTGCACTAAGTTAGTGCCACCTCTTCCAGGGAACTTTCTCAGTAGAATTTCTACCTCCTCTAACTCCCATAATCTGTTGTTTACGTGTCTGTCAGCACTTAGCCATATTTTGTATTTTATTAGTTAGAACATACCTCTTACTTCCTTTTACCAATTCCCTTTACTGCAAGAATGAAGACTTAGCGTGCGTGTCCCCATCGCGTGGCGTCTGCCCATACTGGACGCTCAGTACGTGTTTGGATAAATCAGAGCTGTGGCATGCCAGGAGAGGTTTAGGCTGACTGTGGAGGCATCAGCATAACCGTGTTTGTTTCCTTAAATCGTTCAGAAACCAGTTTTGAGAAAGCATGAAGGGTCAGCCATGAGGTCCCTGTGTAGCGGCAGCACTAAGGACGTTGTGTTCCTTTCCACCCAGAGGAAGCCTGCAAGATGTTAGCACAGTTGCTTACAGACTTGCTAATGGTTTCTTTTCTCTAGCCATAAAGCATAATAGGTGAGCTTTGGAAGGGCAAGAACTGCCTCTGACTTTTTGTATCTTTTGCTAGTGTCTATCTTGGGACTAGGAACATGGCTGGTGTTCAGCAAATACTTGCAGAGTAAGTGTGCAACAGAAGGATGGATGGATGGGTGGATGGATCCTGTTAGATTTGTTCTGAACTGATTTCCGTAGCGAAGGGCATCACACATGCCTTCATGTTGGTTTATTGGGCACAGTTCCTTCTAGGCGCTACCAAAAAAAAAAAAAAAACGCTGGAAAGAGATAGAGTAGCAACCCATCAAGCTTACAATAATTGAGAAGAAAAGCTGCTCAAATACAGAAGTGATTTTGGTGAACCCTTCCTTGGTCCCAACTACCCACATAAGTTAACAGGAGGGGCATGGAAAGACGGGCAGAGGAACTGGAAAATTCTTTCATTACTCTTAGCCCGTGCCAGCAGTAGTTTAACAGGATGTTTTCACCGAGTGTGTGTTTCTGATGACCCTCTGCTTATACTCCTAGGCTCGGGTAATGGCAACTATTGGAGTGACCAGGGGCCTTGGGGACCATGACCTGAAGGTGCATGACTCCAACATCTACATAAAACCATTCCTGTCTTCAGCTCCAGAGGTACCACATCAGATTTTTGTTTCTATTTTGTACAAGAAAATATTTTCTGCATTATTGCTCCCATGACTCACATCCCACATCCAGATAGTAGCCGGTCTGGGCTTCCCTTGGCAGGGTCCCTCACGCCTATTTCTTTTTCCTACTCCATTCTCACTCTGACTGTCCAGGTTCATACCCTCACTAGCTCCTGCCTCCCCGAGTCCATCCCACATAGGCTGGGAAGTGAATTTTCCTCAAGAATTGCTCTGACTCCTAGTTGCTCCGAAACCTTTAATGGCACCCCATGTAGTAGAGGATGAAGCCAGGCTCCTTCAATTGGCATTCAAGGCTTGTTATGATTCAGTCTGCCTTCCTAATCTGTTCTTTGCTCCTCTGCACCAACCAGAATGAACTTGCCGTTTCCTGTATACGCCCCTCAGTTTCCCAGGTTTGCTTAAACTATTCCTAATTCCCCATGTCCTAACACCCAAATTCTTCTCTGTCTCTAGAGTTTCAATCAGATGCTTCTCCTATAGAGATGTCCCTGATTCCCTTCTCTTCCATCCAGAATTAATGTCTTCACCCACTCCAGGTGCACAAAGAAAACTCCATCTTACATCATTTTCACTGTCTGTCTTGTATTGCAGCTATTCATGAATACTGTATCCCCTCACTAGATCTTAATTTCCTGGACAGCTTGTATTATTCAATTGATACCTGGAGACATTAATTTTAAAACACATTGGTCAGGGAACCAGCAGTTAGCGTAATGGCTGTGTCGCTGGACTCCCACGTAGTCGACCGTGGTTCACGTCCTGGACCTGGTGGCTTAAAACTCACGCCGGGCGCGTGTGCGTACGTGCCCAAGATACCAAGAGGAGAATGGAGGAGAAGGGATTGCAGTGTGACCATGCCCCCTAGGGGGTGATTTCTCGCTTTCTGTCTCTATGTCTCTCTCTGTCTGTCTGGTGAGCGCACACACCCTATAGCGAAAAAAAAACCTCTCCAAAAAAAAAAAAATCATATATTTGATTTTTTCAAAGAATGATTCTACTTAACTTTATTTACTTATGTATTTATTGTAATTTGGTCAGAGAGGGACAGAGAAAGAGAGAGAGAGAAACCTGCCAGGTCCAGGACTCAAACCTTGGTCAGCCATATGGGAATCCAGTGTCCTTAACCGCCATGCCACCTGCTGGCCCCATCAATTTTATTCAAGATGGGACCAGCAGATGGCATGGCGGTTATGTCGCTGAACTTCCACATGGTTGACCACAGTTCGAGGCCTAGACCCAGTGGCTTGAAACTCATGCCAGGTGCGTGTGTGTAAACACCCAACATCCTGGGAGGAGAAAGAAGGAGAAAGGATTATGGCATGGCCATCCCCCCTGTGGGGTGATTTTACTTCTCACTGTGTCTTTCTCTCTCCAACAAATGAACATACCCTAACACAAAAACCTCTTAAACAACAACAAAAAAAATTATACAAGACATTATTATTAGCTATAGTCACCATATTGTACAACTAATCTCTAAAACTTACCTTATTCCTCCATCTAGCTGAAACTATACCTTTGGCTAACATTTTCCTGTTCCTTCATCCAATAGGTTTTTAGATGTAACATCTCGTTTAATCCTCACAACTCTATGAACTATACGTGTAGTTATTATACCCATTTTTACAAACTGGGCAATTGGAACTTGGGGAAGAAGAACAACTCTCCCAAGATCGCACAGTTACTAAACAGCAAACTGGTAATGGTACCCAGGTCTATCTAATTAGATCAGGGTCTATAGGGAAGAACTGAGTTCAAGAAAATGTCTTTGGTCAGTGTTCTAGGGACCTACTTCGTGCTGGTTTGAGAAGCTCTGAAAAGGACACCTGTTCTTCAACCCAAGCGAGCAGCTTTGTCTTGGGACCTCAGTGGCCAGAGTTTCTCAGGGAACTACTGTTGACCTCAGCCTGAAGTTCTGGAAAATGATGGTGCAATAGAAAAGGTCACTGTGTTACAGTGAAATGCAGTGACCTTTTATGTGTATACAAACCTAGGCCGGATAGAACTACACAAAAATAAAATTGTGCACCTTTCATAATTTAACGGAGATGTAGTATGTATACAAAGATTCTCCTGCACGAGATTAAAATCGTTGCACATCTAAAATGCTTCCAGATGGAAAGGCCACAGCCAGAGCAGGAAGTGGGGAGGGAGCACCATTAGAAGGGGAAAGGAGCAGCTTGCTTTGGCTGCTATGGAGGAGCATAGAAGATAGATTCAGGGACCCACCCCTCACCCCCCACCCACCCCACTCTCTAGGGCAGAAACTCCCTTTCCCTGGATGATGATAAAACCATACCCAAGAGAAATGGGTAAGGTCTTCTGCTGGGAGCCCAGAAAGCCAGGCTAATTTAAACTGGCCTATCTAGTGGCTCAGTCAATAGCAAACTAAATTGCAGTGCTGGAAGCCACATGGCCAGCTGTGGCTTGGGATCCCGGGTCACCTTGGAAACATTCTAAGTACATGTGCCCAAGACCCTAAGGAGCTGGAGAATCGGGGAACTGTGATGTTAAAGACCTTGTCACGAGTACTTTTCTCTCTTTCTCTCCCACTTGCGTGCATACACGCGTGCTATCTATTATGAATAAAAACAAAACCCTAAAGAAATCATTTAAACCACTGACTGAAGAATAACTGACACTCTCCCTGTCTTCATTACCCTTCCCCCACCTTCACACTCAGACTTCCCAAGAGCCTTCCCCTGCTATGCTTTGTCTTTGCCAAGTGAGGATCTTTATTTCACAATTGGCTTCTAAGTTTCAAACCCATCTCAGTCTGGTGGTTTTAACGGTTGGTGTGGGGAGGGATGTGATTAAGTTCTAAGAAAAAGGGCTCAAAAAATCTTCTTGGAAATCAGCATTGTCTCCATTCATCATTGTAGCTCCTAATTCAATTTGATGAGTTAAATATAAATAAATCAAAAACATGTGGATCAAATTTACGTAAAAAATGCACAGGGGTTTCAAAATTAGAGAAGGGTTTCCAGCCAAACACATTTTTGGTTTCGCTGAACACAAGGCGCTGGAAAAATCTCGAGTTTGCCAAGCCCAGAGAGCCAGCCGCCAGGTTTGCTGAGCCTCCCTCAAACCTTCCGGGGTCTGAGGCAGGAATTTCTGGCCAAGAACTGAATTCCGCAAGAGGCCCCGCCAGCCATGCTTAGGCCTCTTAGCCAGAGGGGAGGCCACGGCTGAGGGTGGGAGTCGCTTGACTCTCCCCTGGCCCACAGCCCCTAGTTCTCTGTGCAGCAGTGGAGGAGGCAGCGACTCCCCTCCCCTAAGGAGCACATCCCAGCCAGGTCCCCTTCCTCTCACTGGCTGCAAGAGTTCAAGGAGGAAAGGAAAGGATTTGTTAGCTCAGAGGCTCTGGAGCCCAGGCCCTCGACATATTCTATTCTGACCATCTCCCCCGCCCCTTCCCTCCCCCGCTCAGCACACAGTGGTGTAGTGTTACTCAGGCAGCTCCAACAGCCTGCAGCCTGAGCCTCCAGATGTTCTCTGCGCCACACCCCTCTGTGGCCTGTGACAGGCCCTCCAGTGGAGCCAGGATTCTTCTTAACTTCACCCTTCTTTCTAGCTGCCGCTCCAAGACTGCTGTTGCCTTTAGCCCCATTTTGGACTCTGGAAAGAACAAGGCCTTTTTCTGTTTGGGAGCCAGTTTACAAAGCCACCTCCCTCCTCAACTCGGCAATCCCTTCTTCCTGGCCCTCACGAGACTGAGCCACGAGGAGTCCAATTTTCTCTCTGCTTCATTCTTCCTCTTAGTTTTCATGGTTCCTGCCAGTTGTTTGCTTGCTTGTTTTTTTTGTTTGTTTGGGTTTTTTTGGGGAGAGGTTTTTTCTCTACAGGGCGCGTGCACTCCCCAGACAGAGACATAGAGAAAGAAAGCGAGAAATCACCCCCCAGGGGGGATGGTCATGCCACAATCCCTTCTCCTCCATTCTCTTCTCGGGATCTTGGGCACGCACGCACATGCGCCCGGCATGAGCTTTAAGCCACCGGGTCCGGGACGCGAACTGCGGTCGACTACGTGGGAGTACAGCGACATAGTCATTACGCTAACTGCTGGTCCAGCTAGTTTGTTTTTATAACTCCAGATCACTTGTTTAGCTCATTCTTGCTTTTGTTTTTTGGAATCTAAGTTTCTTTTTTGTTTGATCTGAAACATCCTTCTCTAAAATAACGACCTTAGGCTCTTGTATCTGAATTCCGGCCCCAGCGCCAGTGTTCCATTGGCCTGCCCAGTCCGGTGAAGTGCTGTGTTCTGTTTCTGTAAGCTGGAGGGGACATGCCTGTATTTGCAAGGTGATGAGAAAAGCGAGTGAGAGCAGCATGAAATGACCTGGCACAAGGTCTGGTGTGTGGTCAGAGATGGTCGGTAAACATCAGTCCTTTTTTTCCACTGGCTTCTAGAAGACTTCACACTTAACGATTTCAAGTATTCACTTGCCTATTAAAAGGGAGTTACTTGTCTGTGTAAAACTTCCTATTGTCGCCCATGAAAATGGCAATAATATTTAAGCTCTTGTGTTTACATCTTCTTAATATTTACAGTCTTCTGATTCTCAGTGACTTTTTGTGCCCAAAACAAAATCCTATTCTGAGAAAGAATGTGTTCTGTAGCATTTTCTGCTTTCTGCATTCTGAAACAGTCGCAGTGAGTAATGACACAGAAAAATGGCTGTGTTGGGGCCAGCAGGTGGTGTAGTTGTTAAGACCCTGGACTTCTGTGTGGTCGACTGCAATCCGAGTCCTAGACTCAGTGACTTGAAACTCACACCGGGCAAGAATGCACACATGCCCAAAATTCCCAAGAAGAGAATAGAAAAGGGATTGCGCTGTGGCCATCCCTACAGGGGGTGATTTCTCACTTTCTCTCTCTCAGTCTTTTCAGGGTACCTACGCACCCTATAGCTAAAATCTCTCCCCCTAAAAGAAAAATGACTGTTACAGCAAGTGAAGCAGTAT